AGCCTCACCTCCGTCCCCGGAAAAGTGATGGAACGGCTCATACTGGCCGTTGTCTCCAGGCACGTGGAGGACAAGAAGGCACTCAAGAGTAGTCAGCATGGATTCACCAAGGGGAAATCTTGCTTGACTAACCTGACAGCCTTCTATGATGAAATGACCGGCTGGATAGATGAGGGGAGAGTGGCGGATGTCGTCTATCTCGACTTCAGCGGAGATCATATAGCCATATCTCTAGTTCTCTTTCTAGTAATCATTTTCCCAAAAAGGACACTCACCGTAAAGAGGAGAGTAAGCATATGGACAGCACATGTGAAACAGGCCTGCCACTACAGAACTTGGTTACGTGTCAGATAGCTTATATCTAAACAAAAGCTCTTCAGCACCCTCCAGGCACTTTCTGAAGACAGCTGGGACAGTAAGGGCAAGAATGACAGAAAATATATTTAGGATAGGTCACATTGTGATTAGGAAGGGATCTGTCACCTTTCAACAGTTCCCTTCATTACTGTTCTCCTAGATGGACTCATAATAGGCAAAAAGGAGAAAAAATAGGATATACCAACAGGTTGGTTAATCATAGGAAAGAATAAAAGCAAGCTGAGAGCACATTACAGATGACAGAGGCAATATATTAGGAAAAATATCTTCATCTAGAAAAAGTGTTTTAGCACAAGCATTTCATAAGCTTTCTTGGACCCGGTCTAAGAGGCAGGACAGCCATTCACAACGCAGCCTCCCGAACCTATTTGCCAGGCAGCATCTCAGATTTATCATCTGCACTGAGACACCCCCAGGATGGTCTTACAGGTTGTAATTCAGCGATGCTCCCCACAGGAACCCAGGACTAATTCCCAAAGTATATTATAATTCCATACGTACAGCCCCAACTTACATTAAGTGAAAGCATTTTGCTGTAAAATTGACTTACTGACGTGCACTTCCATGTTAACGCGAACTGCAAACTCACTTACACTGGAGGGTCTACAGTTCTTACTGGAACTACTAGTACAAGCGATAAGGGTTTTGCAGTATCTGTATCAAGATATGGGAAGATGACAACTACGCTTAAAAATAAACAAACAACAACAACCACAACAAATAGATTTCATTTTGCTAATAGATTCAGATAACATGGACCTGCAGAAGTTTCCCTTATGAAGACCTTAACTGTTTTCTGGCCCTCCACAACCTGTGGAATATTACTGGAAGGTCTCTTCCTTCCTTCTCCAGGAACACACAAAATTTGTATTTTCTACATGCTTAAAACCCTTGCAAGGCAACTTTTTCAAAGCATACTCAGACTCTGCATCTCTCCTTTCCATTTCCTCCAATATTCTAATTTTAGATCAGAACCAAGGTTGTCCTAGCACTTGCTTCCAACTATTACTAATCCTTGGAGAAAATTTAAGAAACAAGGTGATGGATTGTTTGATATTTCCCAGCTTCCATTACAGACCAGCTTTGAGGCTTCCTGAGCAGAATACTAATCATAGTTAATAACTGGTGGGGCTGCCTCTTTCTGAACTCATAATTAAACTATGGAAATTATTGCCACAGACCAAGCAATGTCCCTTTAGTAAAGGGCACTGTGAGGAAGAGAACGGGGATACTTGGCTTACTTTTATTTGCAGGCTATTTTAAAGCACCAAAATTCAAACAGGGGCAGAAGGATGCATCCTTTAGCATAGAAAGTTGTGGAAGAAATCATTCTGTATTTCCTTCACAATTGTATAAATCTCTTATTTTCCATGAATTACCTCTTTCCAAACAAAAGTGATCTACTTTATTCTGTCTCTGTGCTGGGGCTATTAGTAACATCCTTATGATCGTTTTTGATATCCTTTAACTCTTCTGATTCTACCGTATCCTTCTGAGCAGGACAGACTAAAACTATACAGTGTTTAAGATGCAAATATATCCTGGATGTATGCAGAGGCATGAAGTTCTTTATTAATAATTCAAAACCTTTACTTTCCTTTAAAAGACGCTGAACAGCAAGCTCTTCTCAGAGAGCTCCCCCCAGCACACACTAATTCTCATATCTTTTCCTCAGGTGTAATAGCTAATTAAGGGCATATGAATGGGTAAGTCACAACACCTACAGATGTTGTCATCAGTGTCCACCCATGCATTCCTTTACACTTATTGACAATGAAATTGCTGTTTTATTGCCAGGCCTTTTGTAAGGGAACTCCAAACACCGTTCTACGCCAGGGTTTTGCGGTCAGCGCTCAGGTGCTCACATTCCTCACTGACTCAGGTCACGGGCCAGCCTGTCATCGTATTGCCAGTTTACAGCACCCTTTCCTCAAAAGGATCAAAAAAATCTTAGTTTCAAAAATCAAGGATACATTCGGATATGAACTCACAGAAAGAGCAGCTGTATAAATCTCCAGGAGAGTCCAATAGGGAATGCAAACAGAGACTGGCATACTACCTTTCCTATTACATCAATTTTCTCAAATAAGAAAAGAATGCTTTCAAAAAATATCTGTTAGCTTCATTACAAATCCAGGCATTTTGCATAAACTTAGACTACCATTTCTCCCCAGCTCTGCAAGTTTTTCAAAATCCAAATCTATCTAACTATAATTTCTAATGATGTGAGGATACACTCTCAACTACAGATATACTCTATGAATTATCAAGTTTTCAGTGTTTTACTCTGTCCTCTGAGTAATGCTTTAAGTTTTTTTTTAATTAGATTTTTTTTTGTGTAATTGTTGCCAGCAAGTCATTAACCAGTCTGTAACTACCTGTTTGCACAAAGTGAGGAACAAGGTTGAGCTTACTGGCACGCAAGTAACCTTGACATTTTATTGTTGCTGCTTTAGTGTCCTCTAATGGGTCTTATAGGCAGCTTTGCTTTCACACATTTACTGCAAGATGAGTACACACTCAAAGACAATGCAACATTTAAGAACACCCTTAGTTGAAAAAATCAGCTAAGACATTAACTATTCTAGACCTAAATTAAAAAAAAAAAGAAGAAGAAAAAAAAAAGATCGTGGATTTTGCAATACAGAGGTCATCTATTTGATGTTTGGGAGCAAGGCTAGAACTTAAGACTATCAGTGTTTGAAAACATTCCCCTCCCTAAAACATCTTCAGTTGATTTCCCAAGCATAGGCAATGGATTTTTTTAATAAATATCACTCACATGAGATTCATAATAAGAATGGAACAGGTATTCAGTTTTCATTCAAACCTAGTAAACCATCAGAGTTTTAAAAAAATATTCTCTCATCATTTTAGCTATTGTTATGATTAAACTTATCTTTTGCTTTGAACTTGTTTTCAAAGTGTGAGTCCTTTCCTCCATGACAGTTAAAATGCTAAATGTAACATAATTTGTTTCAAACTATTTCATTTTAAACAAATCAAAGTCAAATTTGCAACGAGGTTCAATACTACTGCAGTTCACCGTTAAATATAAAAACAAAACTGGTATATATTTCAGCCGAAGTTAGATTTTTCTGTGGAGCTTGAGAGAGTAACACAGACTAATAAACAATTCTATAATAAAAAAGTAAATTATATTAAGCTATTTATCAAGCTAATTACTGCTCTAGCCTATTATTCCAATGTTAAACCTCAACATTAGTAGAGACAAAAGATAAAGAAAATGCTTCTAATGAAACTAGGAGTGCTTTTAAGCACATAGGATATGATTACCTTTTCATGTTCTCATTTCCCAAATCTGCATGGAGGTGATTGCGACCATAGCCTCTCACCTGTACAGACTGTGGCAGTGCTCAGCTGAGCAAACCCACTTCAACCCAGCCCTTCAAGAACGCTTATGGCAAAGTTTTGCTGGCACCTATATGTTGGCTGTGAAGCAATTTACCTTATGTTTTATTTTAGCCTAATACCAAGAACATTTTAAAAAATGCCTTAACAAAGGAAAGCCACTCCTTGACAACACTTGGGTTTTGATCAGAGACACAGTGCCTAGGTCACCATGTCCATGAAGTACTGCCAAAATAAAAACCCAAAATAAAAAAGTTTTTTTCTCTCTCTCAAGGGTGGTGAACACAGCCATACATATGTAGAAGGCTTTGGGTTATTTTGACCTGTGAAGTTATTCTTCTGAAAGACATTTTTGAAAAAGCAATCAGACCTGTAACATGTATCAAAGACCACTTTATATTGTGGTCGTAAAGGGCTTAAGGCTCAATCCTGTTATCTGTCAGTAAGTTTCAGTCAAATGCCAGCTACTAGAAGTGGCCTGTTCCCTCCATAATTTTGTAATGGAATATCTGACAAAATTCAGATTTTAACTGTGTGAATTCAAAGGCACCAGACCACAGTTAGCTTTTTCCACCTTTTGGGAGAAATACTCCATCACCAGTTTTCCAGCTCCTGATGCCTAATACGCAATCTTGAATAAATACAGCATTTTGTATTCAAGCCAAACTATCCCTGTAATATTTTTTCCTTAGATTTTAGCAACTCACTCTGCACGTTCTTCTCTCCTTACCCTACCCTACCATCCAATTGTATCTCTCTCCTTGCAAGTCTTTATTTAAACGGTTCTGTACGTCCACAGCTCTGTTTCACTGAGGTCTGACACTTCAGAAGCACCTCTGGGAAGCCGGAGAACAGAGCCAGCCCCAGCCCTACGGGTTTACAAAACCTGTGGAGCTCTGTTGCATTTCTAAGCCTTCCAGAAACACATATGCTGCAAGTTAATACAAACCATCTCATGTACAAGCTCTATTTATAAACCAATTCCTCTACCCTAGCTACACAGCACAGTATACATTTGTCATCCTAGATACAAGAACTGCTTTCTCTCAGACAGTGAAATGAAAAACAAGAGATGACATCCTTCTCTACCACATAACACAGATGACCAAGCTTTACAGCTCAAAAATTGCCAAGTTAGGAAGAGAACAATCTACATTTGATGCAACAATCTACTACTAAAGAAATCAACCCCAGGACATGTCTCTGAAGTTTACCAAAGTTACTATTACAAGGACAATAAAAAGAAACAAACAAATGGAAGATATTTTAAAACTGAAAAATCAAGGTATCAACGAGTTTGGTTTTGTTCGATATTCAATATGATATGTATCTTTTCTTGCTTGACAGAAAAAAAAATTCTATGCTACAAATTCAAAAAAAAAAGGGACTATTTCATCATGCACTGAACAAACCTTTTTATTAAGTAATTTGTTCATAATACTCAACAACACATCTGAAAAAGACAGACACCACAATTTCTATGCACTGACACTGCTCACACAGGGGAAATGCTACCAGTTCAAATACCATTACATAAATTCACAGGGTTAATTTCAGGTTGCTGAACTTTCTGAAAATTTATTTTAGTTATAGACACAGAAAAAGGTCAACATAAAATTAGTTTGTAATCTTGAATCTTCCCACCTGCCTCCATCATTTTATACTCAAAGCACTAAGAAAAACACTATTTCTTAAGTTACAACAAATTACATGTTATTAATGCACTCTCCATGTTTTAAGCGTTTTACAACATGAGAAGCACCAACTCCTAATGCTTTACCATATTATCTCTGACTAAAATGGAAAATAAGCTACTGTATAAGCAATCTTAAAGAGAACAGCATGTGCCTCTCTTTTAGATATTAGTCATTTTTCCAGCAATCAAAGTTATAGTCTTCACGTATGCAATTCTGCAATCAGTTTAGTGAGCTGAACACAGGAAGCTCAAGGAGTGACATTCAGCTGCGTATGTAGAGATGTGCTAGCTGTTCCCAAACGCTCCTCTGCGTGCAGGAACCAAAAGGAACAGGGACAACATTTAGTGATGAAACCTTCACTGCATTTACTATATAGTAAAAGTAGTGTCTAGGGTTTTTTTTAACTCATTTCTCCCTAGACAAAGGAAAAATCCCAGCACACTGTAAAATGCAACAGATTTGTGTATACATGTTCATATGTGCATAGCCTTATATGCACAGACACAAATATATTTTGTGGTGTGTGTGGTGTGGTGTTTCTGTGCAAAGTTTCGGAGAGCTAGAGAAGGCCTTCAAACTGTCTAAAGATGTATTTTAAAATAGACAAAAGTTTACAAGCAATAACTTCTCAAAAATAAAACTTCTCCATTAATAAAGTGTCTAGAGTACAATTTTAAAGCTAAAGAAACGGTACGATTTTACCATTAATATGGAAAATATTAACATAGTCATGTGGAAATATTAATACGTCCATACCTTTATCTGCTGTCTTCGAAGCATTGCAAGTTCCCTCATATCTCGAAAGGGCTGCAGTAAGTACTGATACAGTTCTGTGGTAGCTTCTGCCAGACTACTGTAGGCTTCATCTTCCATCTGATACAATTCAAGCAGCTCTACCATGCTTTCTGTGTTCTTATGTTTCTCCAGAAGCTGTGTAAAGTGATAAAAATGCCAGTTCAGTGAATGTGTTCAAACACTCTTGCTAAAAAACAACAACAAAATAACTTGTATTTGCTTATCCTCTTCTGTTATCTTCCCTCACCCACAAAATCATCCCTCAGACATACAAAGAAAGTCTTAACACCCACCCACACCTTGAGCTAAGCCAGTCAAGTATGTGCACTTCTTTAATTCTCTCTCTAGTTGTTCTCTCTCTCATCTTAACACAAAATGCTCATTGCTCTGACTGGTCACTGCTTTCCCAGGGTCTTCAAAAGTTAATAAATGTGAGCACAAAAACAGACAGCAAGAAAAGCAACCCAGGACAAATTAATCAAATGTGCTATTTCATATGTTTCCTACTCTTGACTGGGGTGGGGGAAAGGAGGAGTGATAAGAAAGAAGACAAAGACAAGAAAAATCACATTTTGATCTTTCTAGGTCTGTTTTCTTCTGGCCTGCCTGAACTTTGGACCCACAGAGCTCCCCGCCACATCAGTGCGACCGCACACACACCCGTGTTAAACAAAATAATGATCTACATTTCTGCCAACCTTACCCGCCGCTCTATGACATTACCTGAGTTCAGGTGCCAAACTTCAAATCTGCAACATTTCCATTATATTTTTTTAACGAAATTGCCAAAATTTAAACTTTAAAATACTAACATTTCTAATTCATAAAAAAGCCAAACAAACAAAAACAGGGCTTCCTAAAATATCTGCCCATTCCTATTAGTACAAATTCACTACTACTTTTTTTTTTTTAATATTTACATGTTTGCTTTGCATCTATTTTGGGCATTTATCTGGGCAGGCATCACATGCAGCTGTAATTCTTTTATGACTTCCAAAAAAAATTCTTCTAAAACTCTTTTACTAAAACTAATCTGGAAGAGATATAAGGAAGGTACCTGATGTACTTACAAAGGCAAGACTATCTGAAATTAATTTTCCTCTTATGTAATTTTCAGACTTTGAAGGTCAATCTCTCAACCTTTACATCATCATCATCTCAAAAGCACATACTCACAATTCAGATTTGCTTAAACTCAACACAGGTTAAGGACACTAAGGAATAAATACATTGTATCTGCTACCCGTTCATTAAAGTTGGATGCTCACCTGTCTGAAATATTCTCAGTATACTCAGCTGCATCGAGTGCCATTATTAAGTATGTTCAAGTTGTCACAGTCAGTACCAAGAGGAAACACCATATCAGATGTACAAAACTCAGCTAGGGCCATTTAGCAAGACAGAGACATAAGTTAAACTGACAGAATGCTTAAATCAACCTGGTACCTCAGAACTGTGCAGTTTCCAGTGTATTAGCATAAAAATAAATGAACAATTTTTGTGGCATACTTTATGTCCCACTGATGATTAATTCCCAGCACAGACATTCAGTGTTGCTGTTCATTTACTTCAACAGCCTCAGTATGAGTTTCTGACTTTCCAACATTTTAACTATATTATTAAAAGAAGCGGGTGGAGGAGGGAAACGTAACATCCTTTACAGGCCTAACTAGCGCTAGACCCATTCAATATTGCATTTATTTTAAGAATCCTGTTTCATAGATGTTATATGGATTCATTTAGTTGTGAACAATGTATTTTGGGCAGGCATTATGCAAATAGACTCTAACACACAGGAAACACCTTTTTTTCTTCAATTTAACAGCAGAAGTATTGAAGTATTGAACAGAGATTATTTCTGTCTTCAGTAATTTAAAAAAAAAAAACACTATAAAACTTTGAAAGAAATGCAGAAGCACAGTGCTGTAGATGAAGCAGTTAAGACACTCACATCCTTTCCAAACAGCAGTCCTAAGTATAAAAACATCAAATCCTCCTGTTGATAAGCTAGCAATAGGCTACAGAGAACTCTAGCCTATAAAATCCAAAGAAATAGAACTCCAGAGTGTGTAGAATTTGAATGCAATATTTCAGCAAGTGAACTCAGACTGTAAGTTGATATATTAGAAAACTGTAAGATGATTTATTAGAAAATGTTTAAAACTGTTTCTGTTCTCTGTTAAAACTCTCTTCTTTAAAAAGTTTTACTTTTTTAAAAAAGTAAACTTTTAAAAAGTTTTTAAAACAAAAACATTCTTACTAAAAACAAACACACCCACTGCTCCTGCTAATCAGCAGCATGTTCAACTATATGGAATCTATGTTATAGGCAATTTATATTTCCCCTCTCTTATATACAGGATCCCTTATTTAAAAGGTTACTTTCTGTCGTTGAAAGATCAAGCTTTGCCAGAACTTTCAGCTTTCTGCCTGCATGACTGCATTATCATTAACCCCTTTTGCTTTTTTATTTAAAAAGAATATTTGCATTACTTTTGCAGCCGAATATCCTGGTAATGACCCAAACCTGACTCTCTGATACAGATCCTCTAAAACAGACTTTATTGTTTGGGACACAAACCATCCAGGAGAATGCAAAAGCTGCTGACAGTTGGGGTGGCAGAGCAAATGAGACAGCATTACCAGCCTGAAAAGCGCTGGGCGCAGCACTGCATCGGTCTCAGGAAGAGACCAGCCAGTGAGGTCCACACAAAGCTGATTTGGAAACCACAGAGTTTATAATTGGTGCTCAGCGCAATCATCCACCTACTCAGCGGACAAAATGCTAAAGGGTCCAATTTTTCCAAGGAGGCTTTTGAAGACGGGGGATTGAACTATCTGGCAACGCGGAGCAAAGGGGAATGCCTGGGTTTGAGTGGGGGTTTCTGCACAGCTGTTTACAGAAGCGCTAAGTTAATTAAAATAATCAAACCAAACCAGAAGCATATATAGCAAACAAGTTCATCAAAGTTTGCAGATATTCTATGAAAGAAAGAGCAAACAAACAAGATACGGGTAGGAGTTTAGGATCAGAGAAAGAGAGCACTCTCACAGAACATTTCATGCTATCTTGTGAAGGCCTCTGAAGAACTGGTACCAATACAAGACAGCTGTTTGTTTCATTGCTTGGAATGGTGCAGCACAAACAAGCTATATAAATCAGAGCAAACAGGGGCTGGTTCCACAGGAGTGCCATGTTTCTTTCCCAGCTGTCAGTAACTTAGAAATAAGAATTCACATTAAAATGTAATTTGATGAATGAGATAGAGGAGTTTTCACTATTTCAAAGTTAACTCTCGGACTCCTATTCCTCCCTTTGGAAACGGGCAAAATAACTAAACAATAAAGTCATTAATGAATCACCGATCAGTTGAAACACAGTAACGTTGAACCAAAAGACTTGGAGGCGCACCTCACCCCGAAGGCTTGGCAAACAGCTGCACTCTACTTATATCCTAATAAGCTCTGACTTTTCCTGCAGGAGTCGGACCAAAAACACCCATAACCCAGAAGAGTGAGAACGCGCATTGAGGTAAATGTGCATGCTATGCCATAAAATACGCCAAGAAAAGACAGACTGTAATGGCCTTCACTCTGAAGGGCACGTGCAACACGCACACTGAAGGATCCGGCCTCTACTGTACCTTATCCAAAGGCATGGAAGAGTCGGGTGTAAGAAGGAAACAACGCCAAGCACGGTTAAACCAAATTCTGAAAGTTTACAAACTACTGATTATTTTAAAAGCTGAATGCAACTTTAAAAATAAACCCCAACAACAACACCCCCCACATTCACAGTCTAGTATTATTAACTAATAAAAAGCTAAATAAGGTATCAAAAAACTCCTGAAATCCCATATTGTGCACACTACTTTTCCTCCCACTCTAACAGCAAATAGCATTAATTAGCAAGCTATTAAATCACTTTTCTAACAGTAAAACATTTCAGAAGAGAGCAATTTAAATTACTATCAGAACTGTGTTCTGTGTTGGTATTCATTTGGGTTGTTTTTTTTTGTTCCTATTTTCACAGGAAAACAAGGGGAAGGATACACAGATGAAAACTAGGAAAAACAAAACCTAGTCATGTCTAGTGTGGGCGCTTAGTATTTCTGATATAAATTTTCATGTAAAAATGTAAAAGAAAAAAATAGGAGCCAAAGAGATATAAGAAGCACAATAAAACACAGTTGAAATACATACAGCTTATCTATTAATAAAATTCTTCCCAATATTTCAAGCACTTTGGATTTTTTTTAAACTCCCATCATAAATTCTTCCCTTCCACATGTGAAATCTTCGCTAAATTATACTACTGTGAAGTGAAAAAAATATTTAAAATATCTTCTGCAACACCACATGATTGTAAACAAATATTGCTGTCCTTCAAAGACCAAAAAATGCTACTTTCTACTATCGGAAGTCATTTATTCCTAGTGGTTTGTAGCCAAAAACTAAATTAATGTCCACAAACCATTCAAACTTTTTTGAATGGGTACTGTTTGTCTGCTTCACAGATTATAAAAAAATGCCTTACCATTCCACTCCACTGGTGGAATGTGTGGTTACACTGTACAAATACCACAAACAGGAACAAATAGATGAAGAGGAAATCCAGAAAAATCCAGAGGAAATCTTACCAATAGAAGATTTTCAACTGAAAACAACCTCTGTAAAAATTTTTGTAACAGTCAACAAAGTAAGAAGCAGATACATGATCAGATATTTTACATGTGCTCTAAACAGCTGAGGAGTTTCAGATACCAGTCTGCCAAGGGAGCTGTCTTCACATCAGCTAATCAAAAAGTAAAATCCAACTCCACAAACAAACCTTTAACAGGAAGTTATTAAGAAGAAAGGACACAGATGAAAAGCAAGAACTAATAAACAAGGAGACATTTGTGGAGAAATTGCAAGTGAAAAGCCTAGTACTGGTGGGGTAAGTAATTTTTATATTAGGGAGGAATTTAGCACTCTTAATTAAAACTTCTAAGATTAATAATAGTTTCTTAAGATAACAATGGTTTGGTTTAACTATATTTAAGCCCATCTCCTTCAGAAAAGTCAGCCAACTTTCAACAACTAACTAAAACAAAAACACATTTCCCACATTAATTTATAGCATTTATGACTAG